GTTTTATTTAAAAATTTCTTGGTTTGGGGGGCAGCTGGGTGGCTCAGTAGGTTAAGCCTCCACTCTTGATTTTGGCTCTGGTCATGATCTCACAGTGGTGAGATCAAGCCCCTGCATGGAGCTCCCAGTCAGCGCGGAGTCCGCTTGAGATTTTCTCTCTCCTTCTCCCTCTGCCCCTCCACAACTCCCTGTCTCTCGTGGGCTCTCTCGCTCTCAAATAAAAATAAATCTTTAAAAAAAAAAAAAAAGTCTGGCTTTTAAACAACTTGACTTTCAAATACAGCCTCAGAGCTGTTGTTTAACCCATTCCTTCCTCCTAAAATCCTTGAAAGGGAGTTTATTTAGAAACACCTCTCCCCAGTGCCCGACCAATTCTGGCTTATCCATTTGAATGGGTGCCTCAGTGTAAGAGACTTACTACATGCCTTAGCTGCTTCCAAAGTCAATTCCCGTTCTTGGGCACTGAACCATACATTTGACTTTTTCCTTCAGGTTCCGAGTGTGACAAAGCGTGTTAGTGTGCGTGGTGCAGGTGCAGATTTTCTGCCCCAAACCGACGTGGCTTCCTTGGTCGCCATGTACGCCCGCGTGGTGGGCTGGCGGCGGCTGGCGTGGGGCGGACCCACGGTTCCCCACGCCGACCTTAAAAGCCAGTCCGACTCTGGCCCACCCCCATCTGAGCTGAAGCTCACCGAGCCTTCGTGAGCCATTGCCGCAGCTGTCGCTCCAACCCCGCTGCTTCGGCTTCCCTTCCTTGATGCTGCCACCTCCGCCTAACCGTCTCCCAAGCAACCGCGCCTTGCACCTAGCCCCGGACCTAGAGGAGAGAGCCTCGCCCCGCTCACGGTTGCCCTGGCAACCGCGCCGCGCTCCGCACGTTTGGGTTGCTCGGCTCCGCCCAATGGCCGTGCGTGCGTGCGTCGTCTCTATGGTGGCGGCGGGTTCGGAGGGACCGATCGATTCCCCGAGTCAGGCAAGCCACCCTGGGGCTGCGGGTGTGACTTCTGGCCCGGGCCGGGGGGTTCGGGGAGCCAGCTGAGAGAAGAAGGGTCTGGGGGCTACCCTGCCTCATCTGCCTTCGCTCGGGCGCTTGGCGCCACCAGGTCCTGTGCCATCACCGTTCCTCCTCTGGGATTTCCCCATCGCCCCATTAACGCAGCTCTGGGGCTCCCCTTTCCTGCTCCACAAGACCTCCCCACGCCGGACTCCCCTGTTGCAGTCCTCGGGTTCCCCCATCACATTCTGACCTCAGTGGTCTCCTTCAGTGCCTCACGACAGCACCCCCCATTCCTCCCGCAGGAATCACCACTGTCGTGTTTCCTGCGCGCCTGTGATTTGGACCTTTCTCCGCTAGGATGTTCCGCCGGGAGCGCCCGATTCCCCTTCGAGGTTCGGCCGCACCCCTGTGCAATAACCTCAGTGTGCTGCAGGTGCCCTCCCGAAACCTCACACATTTTGGGGTAGTCCATGGACCCAGCGCCCAGCTTCTCAGCGCTGCTCCTGAGGGTGTCCCCTTGGCCCAGCGCCAGCTCCACGCTAAGGAGGGTGCCGGAGTGAGCCCTCCACTTATCACCCAGGTGAGGCATTGAATTGAGAATGGTGTTGCTGAACCCAGTCCTCATCTCTGTCCTTTCTTTCCAAGCCTCAGGAATAGGTCTTCCCTAACCCTCTGATTTTCCACTCTGGAGACCTCTGTCCTTCAGTCTGACCACTTCTTCCTACTCTGGGCCATTTCCCTATAGGTCCATTGGTGTGTCCTCCCCTTCCGAGTGTTGCTGGTACTCACCTCACATAGAGGAATACAGGTAAGAAGAGCTTCCTATCCTCCCCCACGAGAGTCTTTTCAACTCTTCCCCCAGGCCCGAAAATACTTCCCCACTTACCTCTAAACACTTACAAACTTTTTACATGTTTAGCCCATTCTTCCTTATTTCTCATCTTCATTCCTTCCATCTTTTCCAGTTCCCAAGTGCTATCTCCTATACCTGCCCCTTTACTAGCTGTATGACCTCAGGCAATTTAATTAACTTCTCAGAGCCTCAGTGTCCTGAGATGGAAATAAAAGTAGTGCCTGCCTCCCACAGTTGTTTCAAGGGTTATATACCTGCTTCTCACACATGGTTTGTCAGCTCAGGGGAGTGCGACTCTAAGGCTAACCTGTATGTGAACTACTCAGCATAGCTCTGCAAAAGTCAGCTGGATGTGCCCCCATCCTTGCTCTTGTCTTCCAGATGTACGAGTCAGATGGCTCTGTCATGGTCTATTGGCATGCACTGGACTCTGGAGATGCATCTCCAGGTACCTGCAGGACTGAGTGGGGTGGGGGTAGGGAGTATTTGGTGGGGCCGGCGGAGGTGCTATTTCTAATAGTTTTCCCCTTTCATACTCAGTACAGGCTGTGTTTGCCCGAGGAATTGCTTCCAGTGGCCGCTTCATCTGTGTGGGTAAGGGGGCCAAAGGCAGGGCATTGGGGGGTGCTACGGCATAGGGGTGCAGGCTTTGCCCGGGATGATGCTGAAGGTTTGAGGGAATTTTTGAAGGTTAGAGGGAAGGGTGGGAGTGAAGGGGGCTCTTATAGAGACTGCAGAAAGCCATGGCAGGCTTCAGAGGAGCAGGATAGGATAGAGTAATTGTAGTCAACCGAGGAGCGGAGCTGTTGGAGCAGTGAGTGGTGGGTTTGCTACAGAGGTTTCTGGGGTGGAGGGAGTGCTATGTGTGGTGGTTGGAGACGCGGGAGGATCAGGAAGCCATCAGTGGGGCACTGGTTCTGCAGGAACGTGGTCGGGCCGGGTGTTGGTGTTTGACATCCCAGCCAAGGGTCCCAACATTGTACTAAGTGAAGAGCTGGCTGGGCACCAGACATCAGTCACAGACATTGCGACCGAGCCTGCCCAGGGACAGGTGAGTGGATTCCCCCTACTTATTCCAGTGAGCCTGGGAGCCTCCCACTTTGGCGGGCGGCAGACCTGGGTTTAAGAATTGACTCCACTGCTAAGCAGCTGGATCACTTTGGGCAAATTGCTGCCCTTTCCCAGGCTTCAGCAACCTCAAGTCCAGTGATGAAATCGGATTTTCCACTTACGTGGCATTTAATAGCTCACGAACACTTTTCAGTCCTGGTGTGAACTGAGGAGTTGGGACAGATGGTGTCTAAGATACTTTCCAACTCTGACGTGTGCAGCTTCCTTTTCTGGACTTGCCAAGTCCTGCCCACCTCCAGTGCCACTCTCTTCAGGAAGCCATCCCCCTATTCCTGCTCCCACTGATCTCCCTTAGCTGAGCCCTGAATTGGTACTAGCCTCAAAGACAACTCTTGTCTCCCTAATTGGATTACAAACCTCTTGAGAACAGGGTATGTACGTTCTCATTCATATCCTCCATTGCACCTGACCCAGCGCTGGGCCCAGGGACTATGTTTGTTGCCTGGGGTTGGGGACTGTCCAGGGGCCTGGACTCTAGTCATGACTGTGACTGGCTTACTGCAGGACCTCCAGATCATAACACTGGGGCCTCAGCTTCCTCATCCATCCAGTGAGGGCGGTTATATACCCCGCTCCTCACACGTGGTTTGCAGGTCTGGGGAGTGAAATTCTAAGGAATGCAAGGGAGGCACTTTATGCATCCCGAGGGAACCCCGCATCCAGCCGATAAGGGCTCCACATATTGCCCTTTCCCTGGAGAGGCAAAGATGCAGATGCTACCTCCCTTCCCCTCCTGCCCTGTATATAGGACCCAGCAGGGGAGGAAGGGAAGGACTGATCCTGCTTTTCTCCTCAGGACTGCATGGCTGACGTGGTGACAGCAGATAACTCAGGCTTGCTGTGTGTCTGGCGGTCAGGGCCCAAGTTCAAATTAGTGACCCAAATTCCAGGATTTGGGTAGGTGAGGCGGAAGGGGGTGGACGCCTTCCTGAGGGGTCAGAGGAAATTAAACTGGTTTATCACCCTTGCAGGGTCCCATGCCCTTCTGTGCAGCTGTGGCATGGGACAGTAGCAGCAGGCTATGGCGATGGGCAAGTGCGTCTATATGAGGCCAGTACAGGAACTCTGCACGTCCAGATCAGCGCCCACGCCCGGGCCATCTGTGCCCTGGACCTGGCTCCCGAGGTGGGCAAGGTCAGTCTCCTCCTCCATCCCTACGTACCTGTGTCCCTGGTGCTGGGACATTGAGAGGAACTCCACAGGCTTGTCTGTTTCTCAGTGGAGCCCTCTCCCTGGGTGCCTGGGCCAGGCACTCCAGCCTATACTCGTCCCCTCAGCACCTGCTAATGCCCACTCATCCTCCCACCTTTGGTTTTATAGCTTCTCTCTGCAGCCGAGGACACCTTTGTACACATCTGGAAGCTGAGCAGAAGCCCAGAGAGTGGCCGCACTGAGGTGTGTGTTGTGGGAGGAGTGGGAAGGGGGGTCCGCGCATGAGGCAGCATGCCCTGAGCAGCCCTCTTCTCCCCCAGGTGGAACACTGTCATGGTGAGTGTGTGCCTGACACCCAGGTGTGCGGGGCCCGATTCTGTGACCCCTCAGGCAGCTCCTTTGCTGTGACTGGCTATGACCTTGCTGAGATCCTGAGATTCAGCAGTGTGTGAGAGAAGAGCAGCCCTCCTTTCTCCTTGTGGTATTTATAAAGTAACCCTCCACCCAGCCCTTGTCTGATTACTCAGTATCACAGACCGGTCAACTAAGCTCCAGGGATGAGGGGAGGGGGCAGTTCCAGACCAAGCGGAGAGGCAACCTATCCTCAAGAACCAGGTGAGGGCTGCCGTTAAATAACTTTAATGGTTGATGTGAGTGTCACAGGGAGGTGCACCCCCTCCCAAGGCTCTTCAGTGCCATCCTCAAAGCTGGTTAGTGCAGGGAGGTAGGGCAGGATTGGTTCCAGTTTTCTCCCAGGAAGGGTTTGGGGGGTCCGAGGCATTCCCAGGAAGGAGCCCCTCAACACCTTGGCAAGCACAGCTGAGAAGGAGTTTCTGCTCCTGCTCCCCAGCCTACCCCCAGTCCAGCAGAGGAAGGGGAGGCCAAGCTGGCCAACCTGCTGCCACCCTCGCCGCACCTGGAGCCCAGCTGCTCGTAGGTTGTCTCTTCCTCTGGCCAGATCCTGCGGCCAGCACCTTTCTCTCTCAGACTGGCGACTGGAGCCAAGTGCGGGGTGGGCCTTTGCTGAAGAGGCCTCTGGACCGTGGGGATCGCTGCTGGGGGAGAGGGGCAACGGAGCGGGAAGCCCCAGGGGAGTGGTCTGGGGGGACAGCATCCAGGGAGAATGTTCGGGGTCGCCCCCAGGGCATGGGGTGGGTCCGAGCTGGGGCTGGGGCCACTGAGGCAGGTGAGCAGGGGCTAGGCAGGGCAGGCTGTTCTGTAAACATTGCTAGCCAGGGTGGGGGTGTCTCCAGCCTTGTGCCCTCCCGCTGGGCCAGGATGTCTGTCACCGCTGCGATGTCATCCAGCGGCTCAATAGCTGTGACACCAGGAAGGGGTTGAGGGGAGGGGGCCAGTCAGAACTTAGGCCCCAGGCCTACCCAGCCCTGACCATCACCTGTCACTGTAATAGGAGGAAAGCAAAGCCCGGATCTCAGCTGAGATTGTGTTATCCTGCAGGAGAAGCCCCTCACCTGGGCCCCCTGGAGCCATGGGCTCTGATAAGACTATGGGATACAGGGTGCAGGGGGGATGGAGATGAGGGGGTGGGCAGAAGTGGGTGAAAAAAAAAATCAAGAAAAGAGGAAAATGAAAGCAGTGCCAAGCAAGTGAAGGGTCAGAGGAAGAGACAGGAATCCGCATGCAGAAAGGGAAACAGAGAAGAAGAAATTAGGAAAGAAATCCATGAAATGAATCCGGCTCTTTGGGGGTTGGTTTGGAACTTTGGTGAGGATGGCTCTAAGAAGAGCTGGAGAAGAGAAACAAATACAACAGGGCCGAGAGGGCCTTGGGTGCCCAGAGCTCTGCCTCAGCCTGTTGCTTTCTCTGTTCCCATTATCTGGGCTGCCTTGAAGCCCCCAACCCCACTTGCCATCGGGTTCATGGAGTGTACTTTCACTCACCCATCTCATGGTACAAGGACCCCTGCTTGGCCAGTACTTGGGGTGGTTTCCGGGGAGCAGGGGTTTCGATCTTCATGATTTCATCACAGCACTGCTTCCACTGGCCTGAAGGGAGACCAATGACTAGGGTGGGAGGAGGAAGACTGAGAGGGCCAGGCCGCCCCCTCCCCTGCTACATTCCCTTCCACACTTTCTGGAAATAGAGCCCTTTGATAAAAATAAACCCCATCCCTCCCAAAGGTTCAAACCAGCCCCCTCCTCTTACTCATGTCAAAGAAAAGCTGCCACAAAGCCTCCATCCAGCTATGCAGGGCTCCTCGGCTCTCTGTCTGAAGGGTGTGTGTCACCTCATCCTCGCCATACCGGTTACTGATGCTCAGGGTGAAGGGCCGGCCTGCAGCCTGGTCCGGCTCCCCTGCCCGGACTCGAGTCTCCTGCAGGAGAAGGAAGGGGTCTGCTTCCACCTTCACCTTGGTCACAGAAGTCAGCGGTCACAGATACCAGGCAGGCTTGCTCATCCCTGCCTTAGAAGGAAGAGCTGGTTGGGTCTCTCATCTGCCTCCTATTGAGCAGAGCAGGAAGGAACAGCAGGAAAGGACTGGGGATGAGACAGAGTGTCCTTAGTCAGGAAAGAGGAGCAGACAGAGACGGGATTGAGGGAGGCACAGAGGCGAGCAGGAATGCTGAGGCCTAATATCCCTCAGTACTTTCATAAAAGTCATCAGGAAAGCGAGCAAAAGGGCTTGGAAATTAAGAGGGGTCATTGGACTTGGGTTGGAAGACAAAGCCAGGAAAGGGGGAAGAAGATGCAGAATGGAATTTGAGAGAAAAGGCAGAAAGAGGATGAAAATCCTAAACTGGCCGTGGGACTCTCTGGGACTTGACTAACGCTAGTGAGTAGAAGAGCCTTTTCCAGTGACACTGGTGAGAACATTCCTGGCCCTGAAGCTGGGTGCGGTGCTGTTAGGAACAGCAGGCCTGACTTGGATCTCTCTGCACCCACCCTCCTGGGACCTGAAGGAGACCCTCCTGGGACCTGAAGGAGACACTCCTGGGCCCTGGCACCTGATAGCTTTACCACCAAGGGACCCATCACCTTGTTGATGGAAATAGTAAACAACGGCTCTTCCCCAGTGTCTGCGTCTTCGGGTTGCCGGTAACAGAAGAGGCTTGTGCCTTTCAGGACTCCATGCACTCGCGCCCAGTCCTGCAGCTCCCCAGCTTGCTGCACAAATGACTCAAGGTTTCCTGGGGGAATCACACCCCCAACACCCTTCTTCCCATTCCCCCACTGAGAGTCTGTTCCTTTCTGCCCACCCTCGTGTCTGATCCTCCTGTCTTCTTGCCATAACCCTCTTTCCTCCACCCAGATCTTGACTTTCCAATAGTCCTTAGGTGCCTAGATGATCCAACTGTCCTTGGCCTCCTCCAGGTTTCCTTCTCCGCCTCAGGGCCCCTCACCTGCACCCTGAGGGTACCACTGGCGGTAGGCTGAGTCATGCAGAGAGGCTGAGCCACCAGGCGGCAACACACGCTACCATAGAGGGGAAGCCAGGCGGGGTTCTCCTCTGGGGGATAGGAAGTTTAGGGTAAGGGTGGTGAATGAAAGGGACCATCCCACAGCCCCTCTTCTCACTGTCCAGCGTCCCCTCCCTCCACAACAGACTCACCATGGCTAGCGAGGGTGAGGTCGTGTGTGCGGAACCCATCCTGCACTGCTGCCAAGGTGAGCGTGGTGTGAGCCAAGAGGTGGTAACGAGGACCACTACACAACAGAGAAGTGGGCCTCAGCCTGGCGCCGGGCATCCTAGACTGCAGGAAAACTAGCTGGCCTCCCCCACAGGGGTAAGGATATTTCCCGAGCTCCTGCTAAATGCCATGTCCTGTGCTTCCTGTGCTTTACGTATGTTATCCCACTGTATTCCCACGACAGCCTTGGGAGGTTGGTGGCATTGTTTCGTGAATAGATGAGAGAGCCTGAGGCTTAGAGAAGTTAAGAATTTTGCCCATAATTTACAGCTGGTAGGTAGTAGAGCTGGAATTTAACCTCCTGTCTGTCTCCAAAGGCAGCAAAGTCACTGCCCTAGAGCTTCTCCAACTGCTGCTCAGAGACCCAATGTCTCTGAGTGCTTCCAGGCACCAGCAGGCAACCCCGCAGGACCCAGGCTACTTTGCGCCAACCAGGGCACTCTGTGATACCCACATAATATGAATTTGCTCCTGCAAAAAATTCAAGTCCCTCAAACTTAGCTCTACCCACATTCCTACTGGTCCTCTTGGCTGACTTGGGCCTGGCTCCAGGGCACAGGCCAGGGTGCCTCCCAGCCAAGTGGCCGCCATTCATTCATGTAGGTTTGCACGCTGTGGCAGTGGCACAGAATAGGTTTGCATGCTCGACACAGCTCAGAGGCCACCCGAGGCCAGGATATACGCAGCTGAGGGCAGTGGGGGCATGTAGGGCCTTACCCCACAGCCGGGGTGGGGAGCAGAATGGGACTGCTCCCTGAACCCGACGCACTCTCCAGTGACGCCCGGACACGCCTCCCAGAGGAGCGGCCTAGGGAGCTGCTGAGTTTGGTGGCAAGCCTCTTGGGAGCTCCAGCCAGGGCCCCCTCCTCTTCCAAGCAGGCTCCGTACAGCTCCAGTCGCAGTTCAAAATCTGGCCCTGCCTCGGTGCTATAGGAGGGTGGGCGGAAGAGAGAAGGCTGGTCCTGGGGAAGTCCAGGGAGGCATGGGGGGTGCAGGGTGGAGGAGGATGTGGTGCGAATACAGGACAGCTGTCCAGGTGAGGCCCATCTTCCTTCCTCCCCTGCAGCTCCATCCAAGGACTGGAGGAAACTGGAGAAAGGAGGGAGCCCCCAGGGACAAGGCACTCACAAGAGCACGTTGTTCTGAAAGGAGATGTCTGTGAGGGTCCTGTCCACCAGGATCATCTCTGTGTCCTGAATGTGTTCCCCTAGCTGCAGCAGCAGGAACACAGCCCATCGGTGCAGGTCTGGGGACAGAGGCCCAAGCTAGTAAGCACAATGCCCCACGAGAGCCTCCAACCTCAGGTCACTCCCCTCAGTTTGTCCCAGCATGTGTGGAACTCACCGCCTTTGTTCTTGAAATATTCTGTGTCCTTCCACATGAGTGGAATCCGGAGGTCTGAGGAGCAGAGGAGCAGGAAGGGATGTTGAGACAGGGCAGGAGATCATGTGGTTGGGCAAGGAACGCCAGCAGCTAGGGGGCCAGGGTAGGGGTGGGCAGTGGTGGGGAAGAGCTGTGTTTCTTACCGGAGATGCAGACACGGCCTCGGCAAGGGGAGCGCTCAGCAGGTGGCCCACTATCAGAAGGCCTGTGGACAAATCACAGCATCCTGGGCTGGCCTCTAGACATTACTCTCCCCCCAACCCCGTTGTGGTTCTCAAGGGCTCTAGGACGCCTCCAGCCCAGGGCCTAGCCCCCAGGTCCCCAGCCAGACTGACAGGACAGGGCTGAGGGACTGTTTGAGCTGTCACTTGAACCCAGGGGTTCAGTGGGCCTGGGGACACCAGAGGCACCTTAGCTCACAGGCAGTACAAGCTCCAGGCTCCTCCCCCTCCAAGCACCCTCTCTGACCATCTCCTCCAGACCCCTGCCAGGCACAAGTGAGGCTTGAGGGAACAGGTACCTGCAGAGAGACTCCTTTTCAAGGGCTCATCTCCACTAAACCCCAGACCTGGAGGAGTTTGCAGGCTTTCTTTTTAACAATAGGGGAGGCTGTGCTTTACCATTTTATCACTTCTTTGATATAGGACAGTACTGGGGTGGTTAGAAAATCAAGAACACAAGTAAAGAACATCTGTATTCCATTTGCCACAAACCTCTCTCTTCCCTCCTCCTCAGCTTTGATTTCTCCTCTACCATCCCTAGGTAGGCTGAGCCTTCCCAGTACCCCAAGTTCCTCAGCCCCCAGTGCAGCAGTCCAGACACCTGGCCTTTCTCCCCCCACCCATCAGCAGCACTCTCTGAGCATGTGTCATCCTCAGGTGGAAAGCCAGTTCAGCCACCCAATTCAGAAGGTCACTAATGTCATTAGCAACTTAGTAAGGCCTTAAGCTAAACGATGTGCCACTGAGTGAGGGCAAAGCATTTAGTTGTCAGCAATCTGGGGTGTACCTCACCCCACACTGCCTAGGCCGGGTGGGACTTGGGCAGGGCAGAGCCTATTGAGGGCTGCCTCTCAGGAGACCTCAAATTCACATTAGGACCTGCCCCCCAACCCCGTCTGCTTGCCCGTTAGCTTTGTGGAGAAGCCACAGAGCTGGTTATCTGCCTTCCCCTGGGGGCTTCATGGATGGGCTCTGGAGGGCTCCTGGTGACCCCTTCTTGTGGCAGCCTTCACAGCAGAGCTGGGATGGGTGTCACGCCAGTGAGCAGCCAGCACTTTCTCCCCACTCAGCCCTGTGGGGTCAAGCAGGCTTATTTTGTCAGCAGCCAGTTTTCCAAATGATCAGTTTACCCAAGTGGCCAGTTCTCAGAATGATAAACTTGCCAGGTATTTTCTCCAACATTTAGTTGTAGCCGAGCATCACCTCAGCCATCCGGCTGCAGCTTTGTCAGACCGGCAGCGCGAACTGTCGGTGCAGCTGGCATTTCACATCCGGAAGCCGACCCCTTTTAAAATACACCATCTAATTTATGTGAACAGGGAGGCGTTCCCTTAAACACTGTTTTATTACTCCCTTTCTCAAGCAGTGGTCATGCTGGTGTACCTCAGGTACGTTCTTGTCAGTCTGTGGTCAGCTGGCCACCTGGTGAACTGACTTCCGGGAAGTTAGCTTTCCAGAAGCCACCCAGCCCACCCCCTCAGACCACCGGCAGTGCTTAGGCAAGGAGCAAGTTTACATTCTCAGCCCTCAGCCCGCCAGCTGTTCACCAGATACGCGGCTTTCCTGAGCCCAGCCTGAGCTACTCACCAGTGCACCTTTGGGCAGCACATTGTAGTGAGAAAACACCAAGGGGTCTCCCAGGCTCTGACAAGGCTTCGTGGGGAGGTCAGTCTCAGGGTGACCTACACCCCGAACACACACACCCTGGGCCACTACCCTGTGCTCACCGCCGGCCAGTCTTCCTCAGCACCTGTGCCTCCTTCCGCCGCTGCAGCTCCCCCATGTAGCTCAGGATGCGGCTGTTGCACACCAGCAGGCTTTTGGTGGCCTCCAGAGCCTGCTCTCTCTGGGAGCAGGCTGCCAGCAGCTTACAGGCCCCTTCCCTCATCCGGATCTCATGGTCTAGCTTTCTCTGCAACTCTGTGTCCTAGACAGAGTGGGGGAAAGGATGAGATGGAAATGTCAGTTGGGGACAGGCTGAAGCAGGTTCCAGACCCCAAGCAGGATGTGCTCCAGAAGAAACTAAGAAACATGTTTCAGGCAACTCAGCCTCATCTGCCCAATAATAACCAGAGAAGCTTTGTAAAAATACAGATGTCCTTATGCATTTGATGGTAGGAGCATAAATTCCACTGGCTTGTTTTGAGCACAATTTGGAAAAATCTATGAAAACTAGAAATTCACATATCCTCTGATCCAGCTATTCAATATCTAGGAGTTTATCCTACAAATATAGTTACACATATAAGCAAAGCCACATTCATTGCAACACTGTTTTAAAACACCAAGATTAAAAGTCCTTCACTCAGGGGCACCTGGCTGGCTCAGTCCCTGAAGCTTCTGCGTTCGGTTCAGATCATGATCCCAGAGTTCTGGGATGGAGCCCCACTTCGGGCTCCCTGCTCAGCAGGAAGCCTGCTTCTCCCTCTCCCACTGCCCCTGCTTGTGTTCCCTATCTCGCTGTGTTTCTGTCAAATAAATAAAATCTAAAAAAAAAAAAAAAGTCCTTCACTCAGGCATTGGTTAAATAAGTCACAGCATTCCTGTGGAATATGGAATACTACAGACATCAAAGATTTAGGTAGACATATATATGCAGATATAAAATACTCTTCAAAATATATGAAGTGAGGGGGCACCGGGGGGCTCAGTCAGTTAAAAGCATCTGACTCTTGATTCTGGTTCAGGTCATGATCTCAGTGTTCTGAGATTGAACCCTGGGTCAGGCTCTGTGCTCAGCGAGGCGTCTGCTTTGAGATTCTCCCTGTCCTTCCTCCTGCTTGTGCTTGCACAGGTTCTCTTTCTCTCTCACCCCCATCCAAAATATATATATATATATATATATATATATATGTTGTACAAGTGGTAGCATGTTGTGATACTCTCTTCTCACTTCATATATATATATATGCATAAAACAGACACTGTAGGCTGTAGGCCTGGGTGCCAGGAATGGAAAACAGATTTATACTACTTTAAAATATATCCTTCTTTACTTCTGTGCTATTGGATATTGTGTTACCTTTTTTTTTTTTTTTTTTTTTGGAGATGGAGAGAGAATCTCAGCAGGCTCACACCCAGTCGGGAGCCCGAAGTGGGGCTCGATCTCATTACCCTAAGATCATGACCTGAGCCAGAATCAAGAGTTGGACAGTTAACCAATTCAGCCACTCAGGCACCCCTTGTGTTACCTTTAAAAAAATTAAATCCTTTCAGTTAAACATAGGCATGCACGCGCGTGTGCATACACACACACACACATACACACACACACACACACAATCTACTGGGCTCTACTTCAGACTTGCAGAATAAGAATCTCTAAGAATTTAGTGGGTGTGTTTTTTTGAAAATTCCCCAAATGGTTCTGAGGTGTAGCCAGGGCCAAGAACCACCAACTAAAGAAAATGGACAAAATAGTAAAGACCCTCCTGGGTTACCCAGAAGACTCAAGTGATGGGGAACATCTAGTTGGCAAGGGATCTGTGCAGGAGCATACCCCCTACAGCGTTCACCCATACTTCACAGAACCCTATACACACTCCAGATTAGGGGCTCTGCCTGGCGCTCTCAGCTTGGAAAGTTGAGGAGAGAGGCAAGGAGGGGCAGGAGATCAGGAGTGAGGGGCAATACAGGTTGTGAATAAGGATGGGGGGTGGTGTTTAGGTACTGAGACAGGCACCAGGATTCTCAGGAACATTCACTCAGAAAGAGCCCTGGAGGTCTTGGCAGAGAGGGAAGGCTGAGAGCACCAGTTTGACATAAAACAAATCTGGGTCTGAGTCAGTCCTGCCAGTCTTGAGAAGCTGAGAAGAAACTTACTTAAAATTTACTCCACCTCCCTAAGACTTGGTTTCTCCATCTATAAAATGAGGTTGGAAGTAGTCGCACACGCTAGGACTGTGAGGATTCAGTAAGCCAGGAATGTAAAGCATTTAGCACAGTGCCCAGCGCATAGTGTGGATGAATGGTGAGGATGCTTTCTTTAAATGCTACTTTGGCAGAAGTAGCGTTCACCCAACAAACCCTGGAGCATCCCTGTGCTGTCTGAGGGCCCACATTTAAAGTCCAGCTGGGCAGTAAGAGATGCAGACGCTACTGGCTGCCCCGTAAGTGCCATGTCATGGCATAAACACACTCATGGGAGACAGCCCCTGTTTGCTTCTGGCTGAGGTGATGGGGAAGGCTTCAGAAAGGAGGGGGAAGCCTAACTGCATGACATTGTGAGCTTAGTTTGAGAGGAAGCCCAGGGAAGGCACCAGGTAGGAAGAGGGGGGTGAACGTGATCACCCAAAACCTGTCTTCATCCTCACATCAGCTCTCACACTGTGCACTTGATTCTGTCCCCTGTGTCTCCAGCATTCAAGTCTCCAAGACCTGAACACCCTAGATTCCTGCTTTCAAAAGCCTTGTCCAACCTCTCTGCACACTCCCCCTTCACAATTTATTTCCTGGGCCACCACTGGGCTGGGCCTGACTTTCATCACCCCTCTCCCACAGTTTCTCTTCCTGACCCTTCAGAAGTAGGTCAACCAGGTCCCAATGCCCCCTCCACCAGGAAGCCCTCCCAAACTACACAGCCCCTGCAGCCTCACTCCCCCAGCCCCTCTATGTCGGTCTGCACCAGGGTCCCACCTCTGCTAAGCTTTCCTGCTTGCCAACCCCCATCCCATTCTGCTTCCAGCTTCACCCACAAACACCAGGAAACGATGAGAGAAGGGGGGAGGGAAGGGACAGAGAAGCGTGCTCAAGCCCTCTCCCGGTTAGTCTCTTTACTCGGGCCCCAGCACTCACGGATCCTTCCCTAGCCCTGTCCATTGCGCTCGAGGCACCAATGCTGGCAGCGCGCTGGGTCTGGGGAGTTGCTGGGTCTGGGGAGTTGCAAGTGCCCCCGCCCGCCGTGGCGCTCAGGGCGCTGGTGACATCAGCTCCCAACTGCCGCGAGAGCGGGTTGAGGGGCTCCCGGGCGCAGGCGGTTCCTCCCTGCGCCTGGCGGGGCTAGGATCCGGGCAGCAGAACCCTGAGACGCAGTCGTGTGCAACACTGCTCCCGGAGCTCCCCCATCGCCCTGGATAGGGCTTTGGCCTTGGTGCTGCTAGAGCTGCAGGAAGCCCAGAGGCTCCTCCTGCTTTGCGGTAGCCCTCCAAGGTGACCCCTTGCCCAGGAGCACAGGGGAGGGAGGAGAGTATGTAAATTGGAAAAACTGGAGCGGTGGAAAAGTCTCTGGGCTCAGCCTGGATGAGCCCAACACCTCTGCTACCACCTCCCCCCCACTCTGGCCCCAGACCCACTCTCCCACAGCTTCAGGGAGGACAGGGCTCCAGAAATTCTGGCTCCCACCCTTTGGGCAGAGCATCTCAGGAATCCTAGCACTGTTTCTAGATCCCTATGCTTTGTCCCCATCTTGCCGCCCCAGGGATAGCTTCTTGTCCCCCCTCCCCACTCACACACCCCTTTCTCCAGATGTAGGCAGTGTTTTCACTACTCTCCTGGGAAAGAGCCCAGAGTTGGATGTCAGCAGGACTTGGGTCAAGGCCCAAGGGGCTGAAGGAGGATGAGTCATGGGCAGAAGCCCAGCACACATTAGGCCCTCGTGGATGTCTTTTCCTGTCCCCCTCCTCCTGTTCTTTTCAATCCCTGACTTACTGCTCTGCTTCTCATCACCTCTGTTCCCTTCAGAATCTCCACTGGGGCTAAATCCAAATTCTGGCTTGGGAATTTGACTAGCTGTGAGAACTTAGCCTCTGGAGACTGTAAACTGGGGAGTGCCCCACCTCCTTCATAGTACTGTTTGAGAATTAAGTGAGAAAGTCTAATCACTACTTTGGAGCAGCACATATTTAAGAACGACCTTTCTCTCACTCCCATATTCCCTTTACTTGCAGTTTAAGTTGCTTCCTCCAGAAAGTTCTTCGATTTACTCTGCCATGACTACCTCTCTGGCCAATCTCTGAAATATCAATGGATCTCTCTTTCTTGAGTGGGGACTGGGGCGGAGGGGGGACTGCTGAGTTTGATGGAGAAGGAACACAGCATCCTCAGCCTGTACCCTAGCGGAGGTAGGAGAGGTGACCAAAGTGAAATCTAAGCCCCATCCTCTGTTCCAGAACTCGGACAGGCCTCCCATGAAGAAAAATTACATGGGGAAGGGGGGGCTGCACAGGGGAGTAGAGAAGATGCTGAATTTAAACATTTTAATACCTAGACCAGCTCTGTTCAATAACATCTCTGGCAGTGATGGAAATGTTCCACAGCCATCTTGAAATGGCTAGAGCAACCAAGAAATTGTTTATTTCACTTTAATTAATTAAATTATACATTCAAGTAGCCACATGTAACTAGTAATGCGGACAGTGCAGAGGAATAGGTTTCACCCCATGTGCTACTACAGGCAATAGGTAGTAGCAGAGTCCCAATGGGCTCGCTGAGCACCTTTCTGCATATTAGAAAAAGGTAACCCTCTCTAGGCAAACAAATTAGATAAAGGTGTCCCCTCCTGATATAGCCCTAAACCAGGCTGGGACTCTTGCCTCTGGCTGGTGCCCTTGTAAGGGAAACAACCTGCACACTTTGTGCCAGGGACATGCTGAGAAAAGTCGCGAGTCCACGTCTGGGCTTGCTGGTTAAGAGTGCTGTGACTGACCAGCAGTGTCTGCTATGATCCAGGGCGTGGGCTCCAGGGCAGAGGGGTGACATTGGCAATAAATTTCCACTCCTGATCTGGACTCTTTACAGTCCCTCCTCTGACCTTCCTCAGCAGCAAACTCTTGCCTTGTCCAGGCGGTCACTTCCACAGCCTCCTTTACCTCCCCTATCTCAGTAAATGGCCACACCACCCAGCTTGGGCACACCTGGGAATCATTCCAGAGCTCCCTCTTTGCCATGAGGCAAATCCATGTTCAGTTCTCAAGGCCCATCCACCAACAAGCCCCATCAGATCTACCACCGTCATCTGAAATCCACCCCCTTCTATGTCTCTACCATGAGCACGTCCAACCACAGCACCAGGTTCACTCCCCTAAAGCCATAACAACTTCCTATCTGGTGGTCTTCTGCTACCTCTCTTGTCAACTCTCCTCTCTCCCTCCCACCATGCCTGCCTAGCCTATTCACCACAGAAGCCCTTATTTTAAAACATTAGATGAGGGGCAACTGGGTGGCTCAGTGGGTTAAAGTCTCTGCCTTCAGCTCAGGTCATGATCTCAGGGTCCTGGGATGGAGCCCCGCATTGGGCTCTCTGCTCAGCAGGGAGCCTGCTTCCCTTCCTCTCTCTCTGCCTGCCTCTCTGCCTTCTTGTGATCTCTATCAAATAAACAAATAAAAATCTTTAAAAAAACCCAAAACATTAGATGAGTTGTTTCCCTTTTAAAACCCCTGGGTGGGCCAGCATCGCACCTAGAGTAAAAGGCCTTGTGTAAGGCCTTAATCTGGGGTCTGTCCATGATCTCAGCCCCAACTCCTATGTTCCAGCCACACTGGAACTGGAGCACAACCTCATCTAAGAGCCTCTGCCCTTGCTATGCCCTCCAGCTGGAAAGCTCTTCCTCTAGTCTCCACATATCTTCATATCTTTCTGGTCTCAGCTCATGATCTCATCACAGAGGCCTGCTCTGACCTCCATGCTGAATGCTGCCTTCCCCACCTGATGGGTGTTACACCCCTGTTTTTATCATCATGTTACTGGGGGGATGATTTCTGTGTTTACATGTTTATTGTGTACTCCCATTGAATGGTTCACTGAGGTATCCCATGGTCAACAAGGAGCTCGGCATATAGGCGGTGTTCAATAAAAGTGTTTAAGAATAAATAAATGAATAAACAGCTCCCTGCCACCTCCAAGGCCATCAGATCCTTACATCCTGTCAGAGTCGCCTTCCCTTCTCCAGCAAGGCCACATCCTTCCTGCAAACTTCTCTTACCCTGAAGTCTTCTCTTCTTCCCACACCTAAAAGGACCCCTGGGGCCCAAAACACACATCCACCCCCACCCCCAGAGCTTTCAGAAATAGGTGTGAAGGCCCTTTTGCCAACATAATGCTGGTTGGCACTTAACAAGCAAGGCACACAGAACCACCTGTCCCTCTCCCCACTTGGAGCAGTGCCCCCCTCCCTCCTCAGTCCCTGCAGGGACCCGCAGGGCACAAACCCAGGCTGGGTTGCACGCGGAGGAGTCCTGGGGGCGGGGGCGTTACCTCCAAGCTGAGCGCCATCTGCCGAATGTAGAGCATATTCAGGTCCTCCAGGATGCGCAATCTGTCCTGCATCTCTGTGCCCCCAGTGCCCCTTCCCCTGTGGACCCCTCCAGAGAGGGGGTGCTGGGCAGGCTCCTCGCTGCTCCACAATTCCTCCTCCCGCTGCTCCCCTGGTCTTGAAAGAGTGGGCGGAGGGCAGAGGCTGCCCCTGTCCCTCTGCGCTCCTGTCACACCCCTCAGGCTGCTGGGACAAACCTTCCTTGCCTACCACTGTTCCAGGGCCCTGGTGGGAGCCAGGCATGGGAGGGAAGGAAAGCGAGGTGAGAATGAGCAGGGTCCCAGGAAGGGAGGCCAGCTGCAGAGGGGGTTCTAGGCACAGAGTGTCCAGTCTTGCTTTGGTGGCAGCTGTTCTCCCAGCTGTGGAAGAAAAAGGTCCTTTCATTCCGACTCTGGCCCCTCCCCAGCCCCCGCCCACATCCCTGGCGGGGTGGACAGAGAATCTGTGTGCCGGGAGGGCGTGAGGGGCAGGCACAGCTGGAAGGGGGCAGGGCGGGGCCGCCTCAGGCAGGTTTTACGGAGTTGTGGGGTTTGGCAGGAGGTCGCAGCTTTCAGAGGGGGGGTTCTCACTCTCAGAAAGAAGAGGATGGAGTTGAGGACTTGTGGGGAGAGTGAGCCCAGGGAGCGGGACAAAGGGGTAAATGCGGCCCAACCCCCAGAGCCACCTCTTCCAACTTGGGGCCTTGATCCAGCCCGCCCCACCCTGGGCTCACAATTACCTCGCTTTTCCAGCAGAAGGGAGGTGTGGGAGGGAGAAAGGCTGGGGTGTGCCTGTCTGCTGCTGCCCCCGCTCCCCTCTGCGGGCCCCTTCCCTTCCAGACAGGAAACCAGCCCCGATTCCCAGCCAGCTGCAGCTCTGCCACCTCCCCCCCACTCAACCCGGGCCCACAGAGTCACACTCCCCTCGGCGGCCGGCGGGCCCTGCGACTCCGCCCCGGCTCCTCCGCCCTGGCCCGGTAGGCCCGATTTGTCCCGGGGGCGGCCCCAGCCCACAGGCCCCTCCTCCTGGTCCCCGGGCCTCGCCTCTCCCTCCCCCACGCTGGCCCTGCACCGGGTTGCTGGTAAGAGACCCGACTGAGCCCCTCTCCCCAGGTCCCCTAGCTTCTGAGTCAAAAAAGGCCTGGGACGCGGGACAGAGATGTGAAAGGGCCTTTGTTCTGGCAGGCTAGGGGGGAAAGGGCAGAAGCCAGGCCTGGAATCCTGGCCCGGAGGGAGAGGGGGCGGGAGGGAGGCCCCCTCACTTAACCCTTTCCAGGCCCAGCAGGGTAGGAGAGCTGACCTCAGGGACAGCCTCTTTGCTGTCGCTCCTCGCCCTCTCAGTCCCAGACCTTTCAGCAACTCCTGAGTCTCTACCAGAAGTAACAGGTAGGGCTCGACCCGGTCGAGGGGTAGAGCGGTGGGCCGGGGGAGGACCTGTCAGACTAGAGGCGGGACTACAGTTTTGGTGTGGTAAATAACCCAAATCGTTAAAAGGGATACCCCCCTACACACACACACACACACACACACACACACACTCTCTCTCTCTCCCCAACCCCAGCCCTTCATGGGGCACAGAGGAGCATCTGGGGAGGGCTTCAACGAAGTGGTCAGACGTGGGCTAGGAGCCCAGTTGATGATGAAGGCTGTCCCAGGCGGCTGAGACAGGTTGTGAGATGGGCCTGGAGGCCAGGGAAGAAGCGGGCGCCGCCGCCGCCGAGTCCGAGAGGTCTAGGGCCCGCCTACCTGCCCACCGCCCTTTGCCGGGGCGGGAGGGGGGGGGGTGCCCGGGAGAGGCAGGTCCAGGCATATTTTGGGAATCGAGCCTGCGGACCCTTACACTGAAGCCAACCCGGAGTTTTTCCAGGCAGAGGCAAGTCATCCCAACTGGTCAGAGTATCTGAGCTTTCTGAGACGGGTCCGATAAACTTTCAGACGGTCCGCGCCTCTCTTGGGAAGTCAACAATAACGGGTTTGTACCTGCACCGCGGCATCTCCGCCCCTCGGCGCGCGCGCGGGCTGGGGCGAGGAGCCCAGGCTGGCAGGGCTGCGGGAGCCGGGGAAGGAGAAGGAAGGCAGGGACACGGGTCTCACCTCGGGCGGGTCGCTGAAGAGGCTGAGTCGGAAGCGGCCGCGTTTGAACTCCATCTCCAGGGCGGAGCCCCTGGCCACGGTGACCCGGCTCCGGTGGTTTCGCGAGAACATGCTGATGGCCCCACGCCTTTACCTACTCGGTGCGTTCCCAGAGCCGCCTGGCCGTGCCTGGTCTCGTTCGCCGCTGTCCCTCGACGCCCGCTCGCCCGTCCGGTCGGGAAGCTCCCGCAGCCCGGTTCCCAAACTCCGCCCCCGGAGACGACACCTGGGCCGGGCAGGGCGCGGCACCCTCCTCCACCCCCGCCAGAGGCCCGGCCGGCCGGGCCAGTCCTGGGGCGCCAAGCAGGCCTGGCCCGACAACCCGACAGCCAGGCACCCTACACCTCTCGAGCACTGCGGAGGCGCACCATCCGGTCGCGCCCCAGGCTCCGGCGCCTCACCTGGGCAAGGGGCGGGCCCAGGGAAGCCCCGCCCAGCAGCCGCCCCAACCTGGCAAGCCGCACTCCCTGCACGCGGAAAATCCCTTGGCCGCAGGAATAGCCGCGTGGCACACTGTGGTTCTGGCAGGGCCCTGGGACCGCGCCCAGTTGCGCCCCTAAGCAGCTTCCGAAGTGATCATATCACTTCCTGCAATCCCAAATGTCTCTTCTTCGACCCCCTCCCGCTTTAAGTTCCCCATGCACGGCTGCGTGCACATCCACCCAATTAGTGGGGCAGCGCTTAAGCACGTCTTGTAATCCCGTTCTGTCACTTACTAACCTTGGAGCCTCGACCCAATCACTGAACTTTCTGAGCTTCAGTTTTTCTCACCGGTTCAACGGGGGATATAGTGATTATCTCCTTCCTTCAGGTTGCTATGAGGATTACATACGAGAATAGGTGTAAAATGCCCAGCATAGTGCGGGCTTAAACAAGTGCCCCTTAAGTGGACCTATGAAGATAAAGACGCAGGTGCAGCGCCTTGTGTCTTTGGATAGGAGCACAGGTGACCTCAGCTCCCTGGACCCAGACCTTAATCGCCTTAAGAGGGTGAGCTGATCATTGACCTCAGTATTGACTATTTTTCAGCTGCTGCTGGATGGCCAAGATTACCACTCAGTTTGTGAAGAAAAGGGGGCTCTCCTCACCTCCACAAAGCCTAGTAAGAGAGAAGGAAATGGCAGAGTATTAGCTTGCTGGCCACACTGGGGAGTCTTCTGGGGGCTCCAGAACTTCCTGGAGAGAACTTGCCAGACAGTAGTGAAGCTCCTTCCTAGCAGATGGGCCAGAGCCAGAGAAATACTCACCTTTAGCTTTAGAGATGTTACAATTGCTCTGCTGTGGCAAATTGCTCAGTGTTCTACACAACCTGACTTAAATTACTTCCACAAAGGGGAAATTAATTGTCTTAAGGAACTAAAATGTCCCAAGGTCAGGATAGAGGTGGCTTGACCCAGGCATTCCGTGTCACGAGGATCGGGTCTTTTCCCTTCCTCTAGTTCTACTTGGCTCCATGTTGCCTTCACCCTCCACAGCACAACATCATTGCCAAAAATTCTGGGTCTATATCTTTTCAGGGGAAAAGACAGCATCTGCTTCCTGAACCTCCTATACAGGTCTTGGATTTACTATGGGCCATCTGGGATCCTTTATCCAACCTTTGTAGCCAGAGGGGTGGCCTGACCTGAACCAGTCACTATGCTGGGGGGGATTCTCTGTGCCAGTCAACCAGACCTGGGTCAGTTGGCCATTCCTGAAGACCAGCTGGAACCTACTGAGCTGGGAGAGGAGGGAAGGGAGAGGTAGTTTCCTCAAAACTGTTCCTGTATGACCACAGAAGGTGAGGGAATGGATGCTGGACAGGAAGAACAGCAAACAGTTTTGACATACAAAAATCACATGGAGAAGGGAGTTCTTCTGGTCTGTAGGAAAGGCAAATCAAAACATTTTATAAAATATGTGGACTCTGGAAGCAGCTTTTTCTCCACAAGGTCCTGTTCCCTTGCTTTAATAAAATCACCATTTGCACACACACAAAAAAAAAAATCTGTGGCCTCTGAGATAAACTTCAAAGGATGGGTGAGGAGGAAGAGGGGGAAAGGCATTGTTTCTTTTTTCCCCTTCCTTCCTTCCTTCCTTCCTGGTAAACTTTACCCCCAACACAGAGCACAAACTCATGGCCCCAAGATGAAGAGTCACATGCTCCACTGACTGAGCCAGCCAGGCCCCCCAGAATTGTTATTTAGTTCTTCAAATATCTATTGTCACTTCTCTTAACTGTAAGCTCCCCAGGGAGGAACAGTCTGTCTTGTCCACTGCTTTATGCCCAGTGTCTGGCACAAAGGAGGTACCCAGTCAACTATCAGTGAAGTAAATGAACACAGGAAATGCCTCAAGGAAACGTGCAGATTTCAGAGCACCTGACTGGGATGAGTAACCCATAGACTAAAAGGGTTCATTTCAAACACTGGGGTTTTGTTTTGCTTTGTTTTTTGTTTGTTTGTTTTTTAGCAGCAGAATGTGGTGTTTTGTTTTTCCAAATGAACTCTTACCTGGAATATGTGAAATAGAATCAATGGCTGTGATGGAAGCAGGTCTGGAGCCTCAACCATTGTCCTCTCCCCAGGTCCTCAGCTGTGCTCACAGGCTCTGGGGAAGGGTTTGGAAGCCCCTGACAAAAGGTGGAAGAATGGAAGGCGTTTGGAAAGGAGACAGAGCTCAAATCCTGCCTGAGAATTTGGACTCCATGTGACAGAATATTTTGCAAAAGAAGCAGCACAGCGAAGAGTTGTATTTTACAGATTACAATCTGGAAGCCTTTTGCATAAATCAGTTGGAGGAAGTTTCGTCTAGGGTGAGGGAAGCCAGCTGACACCATTCATGACAGAGTGGAGAAACCAGGGTCAACAGTTCTGTGGATTTATTTATTTTTAAGATTAAATTCCTTTTTGAAGACACAAAAAGTTTTAAAAAAACATTCCTAATTGTACCACTTAAATATAAGGTTAAAAAAAAAATAAGAATAAAGGCATGCCTTCCCTACCATCAAAAAGAAAAACACTGAGACATTTGGTGCCATGGTGTACTGAAGCCCCACATGGGTTCATAAGAGACAACTGCTGAATATTTCAGAACTGTGCATCCCAGGTGTTAAAAGCACAGCTTTAATTAAAAATTGAACCTAAAAACAATGAAATAAATTATATTAAAGCAAAGGCGATAAAACTCATCACTTCCTAATTATTTCACTGTGTTTTCCTATTATCTCTTGAGGTGATTTGCATTGATAGTATTGGTATAGTGGAAATGCTACGTAACCATGAGCTACTGCATATCTCTTCCTAAGTTCCCATGTTCCATCACATCATGTTTGAAATTGGGCGTGGTGGGAGCAGTTACACAACAGAAACAGGTGAACACAAAAATCAGGGCTGGATTATTTTTTTTTCTTTTCCCCTAGGGAGCTTTTGTTAAAAATTTACCAGCATGCTACTGGTTTGCTGCACAATCTTTCCAACTTTTTCCGTTGCTTATGTAGGTATCTGTCTCTCCAGCTCTGAAGTAGATATTTGGACTTGCTGGTCACCCGGTGTTCAAACCATTTTCTTGTTTCTGCGTGGTCCCCTACTGTGGACGATATTGGTAGGCTGAGGCTCTACCCTCTTTACGACAGCTGGAGAGGTCATTCATTTTCTCTCCCACTTCTTCATAGCCCAGGTGTAAGCACTTGGCCTAAGTCAACCAATTGGAATGCTTCCAACTGGACTTTGAATCTTGAAAGAGTGAAAACAAGACCCAGGGAGAGTTCATGATATGATTGTTGCACCTGCAGTCCGTGAGGGGCGGGTAGCTGTGTCAGCAGAGAAGTCCTCATCAGCAGGGTACTGTGGTGTGACTGGTGTACCCTCTGTGTAACCTCACCCACAGGTTGCTACTTCCTGGCCTCTCTTGGTTCCCACCCCTTATCAAAGGAAAGTAAGAAGAGCCCAAAACATTTTTTAGTGCTGGGAGGTAAAAAAAGCACTCAAAGCATGATAGAGACATGTCAAAAGGACACAGAAATCATCTTAAGGAAATGCCCCATGACCAAAGCTGGGACATATTTCATCATCAAGATAAATAATGGTAGTAATGGACTACCACTCATTGACAGAAATAGGAAACCGTAATGATATAAATAACTACACACATAAAGGAATGCAAGATGAAATCTCTTCACAGTAGCAATGCCCACTAATGCATGTAGTTGGAATAATGGAAGTAGAAAGATTCCATTGCCAATTAGTACAGTACTGCTGATTCATACAGTAGTCATCAATGGATACTAAGCCTGATGGGTGGACGTTTGATGGGGAACAGGATATCAGAGTAGTTTCAAAATATTTCCCCAGGAAATAGCTCATTAATTACAAAAGTGAAAATGGTGACTCTCCAGAGGGGAAAACTAGCAGACACCCCCTTGACCAGGTGACCAAGGTTAGAGCATCAGTGGTGCTTTCTGATGGGACACACAGAAGAACACAGCAGAGTCTTTTTTGTATAGTACTCCCGCCAACAATTATGAGTCAGGACACAAGCAAACACTAGATGTATCCAGGTTGAGGAACATTCTAGGGACTCAAAAGTCTGTACTCTCTGTACTTTTTTTTTTTTTTAAGATTTTATTTTTCAGTAATTTCTACACATAGTGTGGGTCTCAAACTTCCAACTCCAAGATTGGGAGTTGCAGGCTTTATAGATTGAGCCAGCCAGGTGCCCACAAAGGTTTGTACTTCCTAAAACTGTCAAGGTCATGAAAGATAGGGAAAGGGTGAGCAAATGTTCCAGATTAAAGCAGATCAAAGAGACATGACAAGGGAATGTACTGCATAATTCTGGATTTGGATCCTGGGCTTAAAAGGAAAAGTAGACATTGGGCAGCTGGTGAAACTTTTGAATGGGGTCTGTGGGTTGGACTGTCATGCTCTATCAGTGTTAATTTCCTGATTGAAAGGGTTGCACAAAGGTTATAGAACAGAGTACTTGTTTTGAGGAAATACACGGTGTGATATATTTAGGGGTGAAATGGCATCATGTCTGCAACTTTGTCTCAGATTGATCAGAAAAGGAATAACCGTAATAGTAAATGTGGGGGATAGTAAACAATCACAGCATCTGATTTTAGGAAGCAAGAGAGTTCTTTGTATCCTTCCTGCAACTCTTCTGCATGTTCGCAATTATTTCAAAAGAAATTGTGTTTAAAAATAAGGCTAAGAACTCAGGAGAATAAAGTTCTTCCTTTTAGCCTACAAACATGCTCAAACCTCTTCCACTCTAAACAAAGCAAAATAATGAAGCCAGTGGCTACTTGCTGTTGTCACTTCCTCCCTGCTGGGCATGAGGATGTTGAAGAAACACCATTGGGCCTGGTGTCAGGAAGCCTCTGTTGGAGGCTGGCTCTGCCACTCCCTAACTATGTCACTTTGGCCAAATCATTGAACCTCTCTGAGCCTCAGTTTCTTCATGAGGGAACAATACTATCTCCCCTACGGAGAGGACCAAGGGAAAGCAGGGATATGAAACCGGGCGATAAGCTATAATGTGTTTGACAAACACTAACTACAGGTGATCCCTCACTTTGACTCCTGATGGTACAGCACTATTGCCTTCACACCTTGCTAGACCGCTTCCTCTTCTAGGAGCTCAGCCTGCCCTCTGCAGGACAATACACAGCAGATCACACCCTTGGTCTCCTGATACTCTCTGATCGTGGGTGCCTTTCTTGCCTTTCTCTTGACTTCCTCTTCTCAACCCTGCCTGGCGGGTCTGCCTGCCTGTGCAGGACAGCTACTCACTCAGACTGGTCCTTTCCTCTTCATCTGTTTGGTCATTCTGGAATGTCTCACTTACTCCATACCTTTGGGGGCACCTCTGTTACTATGCCCATGACACCCCCTCTCACACCTTTTGCACTGGATCCTCCAGGCAGTATTTCATCACTGGGCATCCCCGCAGGCACTTCAAATTCACCTTGGGCAACACTAACTGACTTGCTTCTCCTATGTTCCCTTTCTTATTTAACACATCATGCTCCCTCTAAATACTTGAGCTAGAAATGCACAGGTCATTTATTAGGGGTGCCTGGTGGTTCAGTCTAAGTGTCTGCCTTCAGCTTAGGTCATGATCCTGAGGTCCTGAGATGGAGCACTGCATCAGACTCCCTGCTCAGCAGAGAGCCTGCTTCTCCCTCTCCCTCTACCGCTCCTCCTGCTTGTGCACTGTCAAATAAATAAATAAAATCTTTTTTTTAAAAAATCATTTGTTATTGTTGTTGTCATTTGCTTATTGAACATCTACTATTTTCTAGATACTAGGTGCTTTGCATTTTTTTTAAGATTTTATTTATTTATTTGAGAGAGAGAAAGAGAGCATGAGAGAAGGTCAGAGGGAGAAGAAGACTCCCCACGGAGCTGGGAGCCCCATGCAGGACTCAATCCCGGGACTAAGGGATCATGACCTGAGCCAAAGGCAGTCGCTCAACCAACTGAACCACCCAGGTGCCCCTAGGTGCTTTGCATTCTTGATTTGCTTTTTTCCTTGAAAGAGCCCTCTAAAGTAGATCCTACTTCATCCCATCTTACAAGGCTGAAATCTAGCATTCAGAGAGTTTAAATAACTTGAGTTCAAGGTTATACAGCTAATAAATAGTGGCACTGGGTTTTTATAATAGGCTTGTCTGATTCCAAGGTTCATTCTCTTAATCTCAATCATTATATAACATTGACTTCTTCTTGAATTCCCATATATAATTTCATTGATTCCTTTTAATTTTGTCACTGAAATGTCTCTTTAATTAGTTCTTTCTTTGTTCATTGATGCTACCTTTTTTGGATACTGATCTTGTACATATTGTACATATTTAAATATATATATAGGTTACCACCATATATAGGTTGGTTCTGAGGAGGGTGAGAATTTTGAGTGTCTCAGTATTAACTTTTTCTAATTATATATGTGATACATATTAGGTGTTAAGAAAATTCATTGTATGGGGTGCCTGGGTGGCTCAATGGGTTAAGCCTTCAGCTCAGGTCATGATCTCAGGGTCCTGGAAGTGAGCCCCACATCGGGCTCTCTGCTCAGCAGGGA